ATATAGAATGCCAAGTACAGAAGTACTAATAATACTCCGAGAACTTCAAGAAAGTAACAATGGAGTTAGTGTAGAGACAGTAATCATAAACAGAGCATTCGAAAGAAACAATGGAGTTAGTGTAGAGACAGTAATCATAAACAGAGCATTGCAGTGTGGGAGAAGTATACATTTTCATGTCATTATTTGACGCAAGAGAATTACTGATCCAGGTAATGTTGAAATGCTCATCCTTTAAGAAAGACACTGATATGGGTAATGTTATAAGGCTGACACCAAGAAAAATCACTGAAAGAGACCTCCGTGCCTTTTCCGCCAATCCCAGCAATCAAACATTGGAACCTACAAGACTCTAGCTCTGCAATTACTTTATCCACGACTGTTTCTGATAATACCGAGTCATATAGTCAAGGAAACATTTGAAACAGAATCAAATTTCAAGCATATAGATATGAAAATTAAATTTCTTGGGATCAGACATTTGGGGTGGCTGATTAGTCATTTCATTCATTTTTTTGGTATTGTCAGTTGATTGGAGATTTGCAAATGTAAGGGTCTACTTGAAGTATTGAAAAATTATATGGGTCTAAATGATTAAGGAGTTATGTGTAAGAAAATATATTAAAGTGGGTTAAGTGCAATTAAGCATAAAGAAAAAAATAAAAATAAAAAAAGAAGTCGAGATGGTATTCAATTATCTTGATCTCTAGGCTGCTGCAATTATACGATGCTATTCGATTATCATGATCTCCCTCTGCATCAATTCCTAGCAATTTCGTGGATGAGAACGCAGACTGAGAATCTCTCTGTCATTATAATCTGAACTTCAAACTCAATATAATTAAATCTAGTGGTAGGTATTCAAATTATTATAAAGACGAGTCAAAAGAAAAGAAAAATTAATAAAGTTTTTTTAAAGTGAAATAAAAAAAAAAGGTGAGAAGTTGGAAGATGACTTTATAAAGTAAAGGAAAAAGCAGACCAGACTACAGGATGATTTTATAAAAGTAAAGGGAAAAGCAGACTACAGAGAAGTTTTTACTTTTAGTGTCTTCTTGGAGTTCACACGAAGAATTTGCAATCGATATTATATTATTATCGTGTTGGGTTAAAAAAAAAAAAATGTGGCACTGATGGGGAAGCTCGCTGGTACAAGAATATATATGGATATACAACTGAGATCAACCTAGAAGAAATTAACAGTGGTGGAAACTTCTTGAGATATTTTTGTACCACATTAATAGTTGTTCAAATTAAATTTTATTCAACAATTATTTTAATTTTTTAAAAATTCAAACTTTGAAAAATAATTCTTTGATTCTACTTTGAGAAAGACATGTCATTATTACTTTAATGAAATATTAAAAGATAAAATGTAAGATTCTAATTAAACAAGATTTCACAAACTTGAACAAACACAATAATGTTTCTATAACTTGTATAAGGAGTTTATCATTAACGAGTGGAAACTAAAAAATATTAGCATATTGTTGTTGGATTAGCTATTTATTTATTTTTTATAATTTTTTAAAGTATGTTTATGGTTGACAATCTTGTTATCTTTGGTCTTACAATATTTTAGTTTTTACAGTGACTTGGAAATTGACATATAATTTTCAATTTTTTTAAAAATTTTTTTTAACATCATTCAACAAAAAAGATTAATGTATTTTTATTAAATATGAGACATTAGTGTAAACTTTTTTTTCTCTTTTGAATTCATATAATAAATATTATATATGTATATACAAGGATATGAAATATTGGAATTTTCAAAAGTAGGCTAAAATAGTCAAAATCAAATATTTATATGAGTTTTGAGAGGAGACGAGTTAATTTTATTTCTAAGTGCACAAATTGGGATAATAAACAAGTATTTTGAAATAATTTAGTGAGGTGGGAGAAGGGAAATTTTTTTTTATGTTTAAGGATTCATTTGTAAAATAACAATTTTGAGGAGCACAAGTAAAATTTTGGGCAAGAAGTGAAGTGGGACAATCTTCTGTTTTTTTTCACCAAGTGGGACAATCATTTCTCATGTTTACCTACCAAACCGAGTACTAGTGGCCCCACACGTACTGGATAAACGTGTTCTGTGGTTTTGGACACAGTCTTGTTCCAACGATTGGTTAAACCGAGGGCACACCGTGTGAGACTTGCAAAAAAGAGTACAGGGAACTCTTTGTCTGATATATATATTGTAAGACCCGTGTAAAATACATATATATATTTATATCATATATTTATTTATTTAATATAATTTAATGGTTATTTCTGATTTAATTTAAACAGGTGATTGTGATAAAGTTTGTTAAATAATTTAAATTTAAAAAAAAAAATTAATTTATCTCACCAGACTCCCTATATCTCTATAACTCTCTAATACGTTTTATTTGTATATATAAAAAAAAAAAAAGATACTAGCACGATAACGGGCGAAGAAGGGACCAGAGAGAGTGATTTGACGTCGTGTTTTCCTGCAGTAGCCGGGGGAAAGGAACGGTAATCGAGAAGTCGCGTAGAAAGGAAGAATTATTTATACCAGGCAAGTTAATCTTGCTTTGTACTTTTGTATATAAATGTGACTCGGCATATTATGTTCTTCGTCTATATAATTTATTTTTTTTTATGTCTTATTAAATTGATATAAAATATTTTAATTATAATTACGAACAAGATGATAATTATATTTAAGTTATTTTTATATGATCTTGGGATAGAAGGATCTAATCTGGAATATTTATATATAACTTTATACATGTATGAACTGACTGAATTAATTTTTAAAGTCTGGCATGACTTTCATTACATAACCACAACATTACAAAAAATAAAAAAAATAAAAAATAATCAAATAAAGAGGTAGATTCAAACCACCCTCTAATTATTAAATTGATATAACCATAGTATCAAACAACCTTGTCAAAAATAATCCACGATAACTAGACCAAAATGAACTAACTCAAAAGAAAAATATCGCCATTCTTATTACAATGCGAAAATTAACTAAACCAAAAAAATACATAAAGCTGGCCAAAATCCATCACCATCATGTGATCCCATCACGTTCCTACTCAACGTGTACCTGAAATGTGATAATAGGGTGAGCTCACAAGCTCAGCAATAAATGCTAAACACAATCATCGTTCAGCAAATGAACCTCACCTTGTATTCTTATATATATAAGCAGCTCAAATAAGTGCTTTAATCAGATATGTAAATCCCACTTAATTATAAACTCAATAAATATCTATTATTTATTCATTAATAAATCCACATATCTCGCATGAGCCCCTGGCTCCCGTCCAATAAAGTGGTGTGAATCGTATAGTCCCTGACTACCAAAAACACACGTGTGGCTGGATTGTACGTCTACTCCCCAGATGATCCCTGATCCCGTCCACACAATAAGGGCTCATTAGACCCATGGCCATAACAAAAGGGTAGTATACTCCCAAATAGGTAGGTCCCTGACCATACCCAAAAGTCATCACTAAGTCAGTCCTGGACTACTCCTCCGACTAATCCAATCATATCCCATGCTTATATATTACACTGAAAATATATAATAATATGTTTATATATACATTAAACAATTAAAAAAAATTCCACTACATGATTTGAGAAGCTAGAAATATACCATAATTTATAATATTATTTAACTACTACTTTGCACAATTCCTAATATTTTAAAATAACTATTGAACCTTAATTTACACCATTTCCAGTAACTCAACCAAAGCCTAACAATAGCTTGCTCGTGGGTTTGCTTGCACATACTGGCCCATTTCATTCTCAAGACTGAATTCCTTTTCTTAAGTCTCTAACCAATAACCAATCATCCTCTCAAACTTTACAAGAAGACAAAACCAATTCTAGTCAACCCACAGTTTGTACTATAGCTATCAATTATGACTCATGAACCATCTAACACATAAAGAGAAAATCAATTCTTACAAGTTGTACAACAACCACTAATAGAACTTCAGCTACTCCATGACTATTATATTATAAGTTCTGGAACTCTTACCAGACAAATTTGTTTACATCTCATGACATGCGGCTAACCCATGGTACATTAATTATTTAGAAAAAAAAAAAAATCTTATGCTCCAAATTGTGCTCTTGTTCACGAATAGAACTATTGTCCTTTGTCCGATCACCACTCTGTATCATATTTGTCCACAACTGTGGTTGCTTTATCCATACATGACTGTCAGAAAAACAATACACACACACACACACACACACACACACACACGTATACAAATCCATATACTATTTTAATTCCCTACTACCTTAACAAACCAATAAATAAAATTATTTTACAGTTTCTATGATCCAGACTTTAAAAATTAATTCAATCAGTTCATACATGTATAAAGTTATTTATAAATATTCCAGATTAGATCCTTCTATCCCAAGATCACATAAAAATAACTTAAATATAATTATCATCTTGTTCGTAATTATAATTAAAATATTTTATATCAATTTAATAAGACATAAAATAAATAAATTATATAGACGAAGAACATAATATGCCGAGTCACATTTATATACAAAAGTACAAAGCAAGATTAACTTGCCTGGTATAAATAATTCTTCCTTTCTACGCGACTTCCCGATTACCGTTCCTTTCCCCCGGCTACTGCAGGAAAACACGACGTCAAATCACTCTCTTTGGTCCCTTCTTCTCCCGTTATCATGCTAGTATCTCTTTTTTTATATATATAAATAAAACGTATTAGAGATTTATAGAGATATAGGGAGTCTGGTGAGATAAATTAGTTTTTTTTTTTAAATTTAAATTATTTAACAAACTTTATCACAATCACCCGTTTAAATTAAATCAGAGATAACCATTAAATTATATTAAGTAAATAAATATATGATATAAATATATATATGTATTTTACACGGGTCTTACATATATATATATATATATATATATATAAGGCTATGCCCTGCTCCACTCAAGCAAAAGCCTTCTTTCTTCTTTTCCATTCCTTTCATTTTATCTAACTGTTTGAGTTTGGAAAATGGCAGCTTCCTGTTTTTACGATGTATTCTTGTCTTTCAGCGGTGTTGATTCTCGCAAGAAATTCACCGGCCACCTCTTGGCTGCTTTGGATCGCCATGGTTTTTGTACATTCAGAGATGACACCAAACTCAAAAGAGGAGAAGAAATTGGTCCCGGATTGCTCAAAGCAATTGAGCAATCTAAGATTTCCGTTATTGTATTCTCAAAAAAGTATGCGTCCTCACGTTGGTGCCTTGACGAGCTTGTCAAGATCATGGATTGCAAGAGCACACTCAATCAGATTGTTATTCCCATCTTCTATGATGTCCAACCCTCTGATGTTCGCTCACAGAAGGGTTGTTATGCACAAGCATTTGCCCATCACGAAAACCATTTCGACTTGGAATCGGTGAAGAATTGGAGATCAACTCTAGCTAAGGCTGCCAATTTGTCTGGCTACGTCCTGCAAAATGTGGCCAACGGGTACTCTCTCATTTCTTCATAAAGACAATCTAAAACATTCCCTATTTGATCACTTATTTATTTTGATCTTTCAGCTCTCTCTATATAAAAATTGTTTAGTTTATTTTTTAATAATATTTTTATTCTCCTAAACGGTTGGGAAAATAATTGGCAGGTCTGAGTCAACATTTATTGAGACAGTTGTGGGAGAAGTCGCAGATAAATTAAATCCTACCTGTTTAAGTGTTGCGGACTACCCAGTTGGAATACACTATCGTGTACAAAAATTGAGTGGGTTTCTAAAGTTGGGGTCAAATAGTGATGATGTTAGGATTGTTGCCATATGGGGGATTGGTGGAATAGGTAAGACCACAGTGGCTAAAGCGTTGTTTAATCGCATACATCGTACTCGTGAGTTTGAAGGCAGTAGCTTTCTTAGAGATGTTAGAGAAACTTCGATGCAACCCAACGGCCTTATTAAATTACAAGAGAGCCTTCTCTGTGATCTCCTGATGGATAGAAATCAGACAATAAGAAGCGAGGATCATGGAATTGAGGTGATAAAACGACGAGCATGGTGTCGAAAGGTTCTTCTTGTTCTCGATGATGTGGATAACATCCGCCAATTGAGGGCATTAGCTATAAATCGTGATTTGTTACGTCCCGGAAGTAGAGTCATACTAACAATTAGAGATTTGTCTTCAACAACTTCGCTTCAAGTCGATGAGGTGTATAAGATCAAGAAGTTGAATGGGGAGGAATCTCTTCAACTCTTCAGTTGGCATACCTTTAGGAGAGATCATCCTGTAGAAGACTATGAGAGCCTCTCTAAGGAAGTAGTGAGTTATTCTAACGGACTTCCTTTAGTTCTTGAAATTTTAGGTTCCCTTTTGTCGAACAGAGACATGCTTGAATGGAGAAGTGAATTGGAGAAGTTGAGAAAGATTCCTCACAAGGATGTTCAAGGAAAACTTACGCTAAGCTTCGATTCACTTGATGACAAACTAAAGGGTTTATTCTTACATATTGCATGTTTTTTTGTTGGAATGAACCAAGATTTGTTAATCAAAATATTAAAAGGTTGCGGTTTCTTTCCAGAATCTGGAATTGGGGTTCTATCTCGTCGTTTTCTTGTCAGAATTGATGGGGATAACCGGCTGATGATGCATGATCTTATTCAAGACATGGCTAGAGAGATCGTCCGCCAAGAATCTCCTGAAGAGCCAGGCGAACATAGTAGATTGTGGTATCAAGAAGATGTTCTCGATGTATTGAGAAATAACACTATAAGAGCCCAGTGCCTAAATTATTTACATATTTTGTTACATTAAAAATGCATTAGCACACAGCACATCATGAAAGTCACACAATCTGAGATGTGAACCTATTTTCAACACAATGTCACATACATACATACACACACACACATATATAAATATATATACTTATATTTGCAACTTTTTATTATCATAAGGGGACGAAAGCAATTCAAGGCTTGGTCCTGAACTTGCCAGAATCCGAGGAGCTACAACTAAATGCGAAGGTCTTTACAGAGATGGTGAGGCTGAAAGTGCTTCATCTCAATTATGTCGATCTAAGTGGAAGCTACAAACATCTCTCTAGAAGACTTGTATGGCTATGTTGGAAAGGATTTTCTTTAGAATGTCTACTATCCGCCTTAATCTTGGATAATCTGGTTGCTATTGACTTCAGCTATAGCAAACTCAAACAAGTTTGGAGAGGAACAAAGGTATGATGATTGATACTACTGTTTTTTTAATCATCTGCTTCAAACTACTTAAATTATACAACGACATGCTCGAAAATTTATTGTCTCTTTCTGTTCCTAACAGGTTTTGTGCAAATTGAAATTCCTCAATCTCAGTCATTCCTATCTCTTGATTAAAACTCCAGACTTCACGGGACTCACCGGTCTTGAGAAATTGTTGCTGCTGATTGTACAAAGCTGGTAGAGGTTCACCAATCTATTGAAAGTCTGAAAAATCTTATTGTCTTGGATTTACAGAATTGCCACAATCTGAAGAAGATTCCCCCGAGCATTTTCATGTTTAAGTCTCTCGATTATTTCAATATGTCCGGTTGCTCCAAATTAGAGTGGCCAGCATTTTTTCGAAGATCCCTACTTGGATCAAGCTTACAATTGTCAAGTAGCATCAGGAAATTATCTATGGAAAACTGCAATATAACAAATGTGCCCAGTGAAATTGGTAGTTTGGTGTCCTTGAGATGTTTGAATCTTAGCGGAAACAAATTTTCTAACCTACCAGCTACCATCACTAGCCTTCCACAACTGTTGACTCTCTTCACACAAACGTGTACTCGGCTTGAATCACTTCCCGGCCTTCCAGTAAATTTAAAGTTTTTGCGAGCAGATGACTGCACAGCATTGCAGAGCATGTCAATTGAATCAAAAGCAGCACACAGACAATTCATGACTTTTAACGGTTGTCCCAAATTAGTCAACAACAATGCTGCATATAATTTTAGAAGAAATGTTCTCAGATATCAGGTACAAATACAACACTCTCCCTATGTGTGTAGTATTAGAAGAAACCAATTAACTTGGTTCGTGGGTCTAATCTAATGTAGGGACATCGAGAACAAGAGTTGCATATTTGTTTTTCCGGGGGTGAGCTTCCGAGGTGGTACAACTACCAGAGTGGGATACTTTATACGTTTTCAAATGCCTCAGCTCGTGGGTCGGATAATACAAGGGATTATTTTCTGTTTTGTTTTTTCTCAGCGCGTCTCTGGAGATTTTATACTCCCATACATAGTTACATATTGCGTTTCTAATAAAACCAAGTGGTCTCGGGGACCACATTGTGAAATACCAATATATTTTTATGCAGATAGATTTGAACGAATGTGCCTCTCCTACATACCAATCCGGCAGCTTAAACATTGTCGGTTGGACGTTGGAGATGAAGTGGAAATAACAATCAGACAATCGTATGGAAAACAGTTGTGGATGAAGAGGTTAGGGGTTAGTCTGATTTACGAGGGCGATGAGAAGAATCAGGACTCATATGATGATGCCTCACATCACTCGCTCACTGTTGCCTTAGATATTATCCCTACTCCTCTTGGTGACGTAGATAAGCAGAATGAAGAATTTATAATGGACCTACTCTTACAGGGTGCAACTTGGGCCGGCCCAACGGATTATTGGGTTGGTTATTTTATTTTATTTTATTTTATTTTATTTGTTTTGTTTTGTTTTATTTTTTTATTTTTCGTTTTTTTAGAACATAAGTGACCCATTTGAAGGCTTCTAGGGTGAAAGGTTGAGAGAGACTGTGTACTTTAATAAAAAGAAGAATTTTACGTTTTTTAAATGGAATGAGAATTATATGTATCAATTAAGACTGGAGTGTAGTGACCTGACTTTCCTAAAATTACATTGCTGTGATGGATCCTACAAATATTCCGCCCGAAGTGTCTTCCGTTAATAATATGGTATTGGCTTAATAGAAAAGAATTACATGTTGACTGTTGTGATAATACCACTCAAACTAACAGACTTGAATAGGATAATACAGGTTTCCTTTACCACAAGGCTATTTTTAGTTACTGAATGGTTGAAAATCCTTTATAATCGAGTCCAACTCGACATAAAACATAAGAAATTATGAAGACATTTGCATATGAATGTCATACTATAATCTTTTTAAATTACACTACAAGATAAGTGAGAACAAATAGCATCATCTATAACAAATAGCATCTGTAGATAACCCAGAAGCCATACAATCAAGCATTGGAATCCACAGGACTCTAGTTCAGCAATTACTTTATCCACTACTGTTTCTGATAATACTGATTCATATAGTCAAGGAAACCTTTGAAAGACAATCAAATTTCAAGCATATAGATATGAAAATTAATTTTCATGTGATCATGTTAGTCAAGATCTGAAAGCTTGTTAAAAAAAAAAAAAAAAAATAGAAAACATTTTATATTCCTCAAAGTTATTTAAATTTTGATCACTTCAGTTTTCTTATTTTCCCTTTTAGCATTGCGAAGCATGTCTGGGCAAGAATTCTGCCCCTAAAGCCAAACCCCCTCTGCTAAAGCACTTCAAATTGGATGTCCATGGAATTCCTATGAGCTCAATTCACCAAATTTTTGCAAGTCCTATTTTATTTAAATAACTTGATGCCTAGTAATAATTAACATTAGATTTGTGTCCATTAATCACTTCCCATATCTAGAATTACATTGGATAATAGATTGGTAATTTCGATCAAGGGCCTTGTAATTTAGTCATATCTCTTTTACCTCTCAAAATGAATGATGAGGGTTTAAGTTTCTAAAGAAGTAAAGTGGGTGTTCTTGTGACTTTCTTCCTAATGAAAAAAATATAGACTAGTAATTGCGAAGCAAAAGCTATGAACCTTCACACTGGAACAATGAAACGACTTCAAATTCATAAAGTTTTGGCAAAGATAATTTTGAAATATTATTGATGAAAAAAGAGATGAAAACTAATAAATATAAAATATAAAACGAGTTTTTAGGGTCTAAACTTAGCTAACGTTATTTTTAAGAAGAACAATTTGAAGGTATAAGATTCATTTACCACGGGCATTTAGTTATCACATATGGTTGAAATTACTTTATGATTGATTACAAGTAGACAAAAATGAAAGAAATTATGAAGAGTAATGCATATGATACTAATTCTTCTTGTGAAATGGCCACAATCAGTGCTAGTGCTGATTACTTTCGGTGGTCACTAAGAGAGATATACGGTGTGAGTATTTTTTTAGGGAGTGAGCAAAAAAACGAAGTGTATTTTTCAGGAGTGATGGAGAGATACACTGTATATGTGTGTGGAGGATCTGTTGATTCACATCTTGTAATTACTCAACAAATATAGTGAATATCTGGTGCGCACCGTGGACGTAGGCAAAATTGCCCGAACAACGTATAATTTTTGTCTTGTGCAATTGTGTATGTTATTGTGCGAATATTGACGGCAGGATCCTAAAGGAATTTGTGTGTCTATTGCACAATAGCTAAACAAGCAAATAAATTGGTGTACAGACACAGAGACAAATTAGCATCTATATAAAACCCAGAAGCCATACAATATTTCACAGTTAATTTCAACATAGGATCTCAAGGACAAATACTTCGAGAACTTCAATAAAGAAACAATGGAGTTAGTTTTCTTATTTTCTTTTTTAGCATTAAAGAGTACCTCTGGGCAAGAATTCCGTATCTAAAGCCAAACCCCCTATGTTAAATCACTTCAAATTAGATGTCCATGGAATTCCTATGAACTCAAATCATCAAAATTCTGCAAGTCCTATTTTATCCAACCTTTTTGCAGTAACATACTGATGCAATTTTCATAAGAAATTATTTTTTGATTGTTTGATAGAATTATCTAAATAAATGTAATTTCTGGTTGGACTTTAAAGGGATTGATTCAAATCTCAGCACGCCAGCCAAGTATTAGTTTTGTGGTTGGAGTTCTAGTTCGTAGTGTGGTATTAGTTGTGGTCGGGGTGTAACCGACTCAGGAGAACATCAGTATAAATCGGTTAAATTATCTGGTTCATAAATGTGTGTAACAAAATTGGACCCTTGGAAAGGGGTTACGAACCGACCGATACGTTGCGTATCGGCCAATACGACATTGAGCTTAATCAATACGGTATGAAAAACGTGTTCTATGGTCAAGTAAACCGTGTAAGACTTATGCCAAGTCTCTTCATACAAGTCAACGTTATGCTCCTCTCACGCATAAACCTTATCTTTCTTTTCATTTTGATCTGTTTGAGCTTTGAAAATGGGGATTTACGATGTGGATGTGTTCTTGTCTTTCAGTTGTGTTGATAAATTTACCGATTGCCTCTAGGCCTTGGATGCTCATGGTTTTAACACATTCAAAGATGACACTAAACTCACAAGAGGAGAACAAATTGGTGCATGTGATTATGAGTGAAAACCACCTTCGCTTTTGTATTAATCCCACCAGTGCACCTAAAGCAAAGCAAGCTTCACTTAAAATTTTAACAATTAAATTTTACCTTTTAAAATCTTTCAGCCAGAATAGAATTTACATTGGGAAAATGGGAGGGAGATATTTTAAAGCATTTCAACTTTATATCCTTGACTTTTCTTGTTCATCCGAGATGCTATCTCAATGAATAGTAGGAAAATTATTTGCGGTCATGGTTGGGCAAGAAGTCAAGTGGTCCAATTGGACTATGAGTTCATCTTTCACCTCCCAAATTATAAAACCAACTATTAGTGGACTCCACACGCACTAGGATAAACGTGTTGTGTGGTTTTGAAAATGATAAACATCACGTAATGGCACTAAAAGTTGATTATTGAATATTTTGGAAGGTAAAATTTGAGTAATTGTTAACCTTTTAAGTGATAATTTGCATTAGGTGTACTGGTGGGATTAATTCAAAGAATTAACTTACTATTTTACTAAAACTCACGAGTATGACAACAATAAACAAATATTTGAATGCAATATTAAGTATAAAAGCAAAGAAATAAAGTAATTTAAATTTAAGATCAGCAAATAAAGATAAAATTCTTACAAAATATTTATTGAATTTAGTAAAACGACATTAAAAGAGAACACGATTTATAATACAAAAGTAAAGG